GACTTGGAATCACTGATAAATCTTGTTTATAAGTTCATAAGAACGATAATGAACTTAAACATAAGTTATACTTAAAGTAGGGTAAGCATAACTCACTTATATTGGAGTTTAGCGAAGAACCGGGCTCTGCGCGGGCAGAACTTCTAAGCCGAAAGCTCTTCTTCTCGGGGCCTTTTGGCTCTCCAGGACTCACTACTAACTCCTAAGAAAGGATAGAGAAAAGCCTTGAGGCTATGGGGGTATTTGGGAGAGAAGTTGAGAAAATGTGTGAAGAAAATGAGGAAAAACGCCTCTATTTATAAGCTATCAGCATCGGATACACTAAACGTACTCAAGAATTACGCTGAGCGTAATGGGTTTATAAGGGTTATGCTAAGCATATACAAAATTACATTGGGCGTAATGTGCCACATGTCGCGATCTCATGCAAAGCCGTAGGGAAGAAGGTACGACTCAGATTGCGCCACATGTCACTCACTGTTACTCTAAAAACTAATTATCTTCTAAAATCCATAACTTTTGCATATGAGCTCTATATTTGAGGTTCTTTATATCCACGCATAGGTAGAACCGTAATCAACAACTTTCTCTTAGAATCCGTTGGCTAATCTTGAATTTATTTTTAAAGTTATATTTTTAACAGACCGGGACAGGAAAAGTCAGTTAAAAATTCATAACTTCTTCATCCGACGTCCATTTGCGTCTGTCTTTTTACCATTGAGATACTATTAACGAGACATTCGATTCTCGTTTAGATTATGTTGGCTAAAAATCGGTCGATCTAATATTCGAATTTCGGGTTGTATATTGCTATGCGAAATCTTAGAAAAATCATAACTTTCTCATACGAAGTCAGATTTTGACGTTCTTTTTATGCACACTCTCAGTTTAACATATACTACAACTTTCATTTAGATATTTAAGGCTAAAAAGTAGTTTATCAAAAAATCACTTTTTACGACTCCCGGTGCGATGTCGGTTTTGTCGTAAAACTTCGACAGGTCATAACTTCTTCGTTATAACTTGGATTTCGGCATTCTTTATATGTACGAAACCTTTGTGACATATACTATAACTTGGTTAAGATTATTTATTCTAAATAATCTTCTATCAAAAAGTCATTTTCGATGCTCATTGTCTTAAATTGACTAGCCCGAATCTACGGGGGTTACAATTATCTCCCCCTTAGGATGATTACGTCTCGGAATCATCAACAAAATAGGGATTGTATAATGACTCCATATGTTATCTCTTAATTCTAGGTAATAATCGTAACTTCTATGTTCCTTCGAATGAATATCTATCTCTTGGACTTCTTATTACATATGGTACTCGGTCTTGCACCCGCTCTCTATCTCATGTTGGACTTTCAATCGTGACCTTTAAGTCACAATCTCGATCCTTATTGGAGACTCCTTCTTCTTCTTAACAAACTTAAGATAACTTCTTTCCTTCGATTACCATAATAGACCAATGGCTCATGTTCTAATGGTCTCTCATCGTATGATGCAACGCTTAGACTTTATGTCTTTTAGAATCAAATTCCAGACTTGAAAACAACTTCCTTCATGCTCTAATGTGATATAATGGAATTCTAACATGTAGCACTTCTAGCTACAAGCTCTTACAACGATCATGATACTTCTATTGATCATTTCGATTATCTTTCACTTCAACTGTCTGACTTTAGTCAGGTGATACATCAAACTTGGTTCTCTGAACCAGGTAACATACTTATCTTAGTCGGACTCAATTTCACAAGATCACTAGGTTTGGAATAACAATCATCTTCTTAGTCATTACCGAAACAATGGTAACGACATATACGAACAAAACGGAATCAATTACTAGCTTCTTGATAACCTTGTGACTTTACTTGATCCAAGTGCGAGTCTTGTGCGTTTGGTAGTATAGGCATCTACTACCTTTCACACCTACTCATACTCGTCCCAAGTACTATCTCACAATTCTCCAAGTCATTATCACAAAATTAATTTTAACATATACAAATGTGTCCAAACAATCATATAATTTTCCCTAGACTCTACTAGGACTTCTTCCATGCGTATCTTCAATCATCAATTATGCTTCAACTTGGTTTGTGATGGAAATGTCAGACGATGGGATAACTTTATGGATTATACCAAAAATCTTTCTCTCTGCTAATCGAAAGTATACTTCTCCCGTACTAGACGTATTATTTATTAAACGCATTCTAAAGGCAAGATATCACTCTTACAATATCTTCCGATAGGTACCATTCAGTATCGTAAGCCTTCTCATTTCCTACATTTACTTAATTCACTATGAGTCTTCATCATGATGTTCTGCACACCAAATCAGTCGTTTGATGTATTCAGACGAGAATATAGATAGTGCATCGAGTCGTTGACATTCATGGTGCAAATAAATACATACAACTTCGAGAGGACTTTGCGGATTATATCTTCCATGGTAACAATAACAATAACGAATAGCGTTTAGTGTTTTTTTTTTAAATGTTTTTTTAACGAAAAGCGTTGTATTTTTTATTTTTTTATTATTATTATTATTATTTGAATTTGGATGTTATGTGTTATTTTTTTCTATGTTATTTTTAAATTTTAGAAGTTGTTTTTATTCTTTGTTATTCATAATTTTTAAACATTATGTTTTATTTATTATGTTATATTTAAAATATATTTCTTTAAATTAAAAAAATCGAAAAAAAAAATTATAAAGTGGAAAAAAGTTGGTGTTATAGCAAGATGTAACATGATGACCATTTTCCCACTTTGTGTTATAATATCATTAGTGATGTAGCATGTGAGGTGGTACCAAAATGATGTTATGACTAATTGTTCACACTCAATGCTCTTATTATCTGCTACAAATCTATATCACGTTATCTTTTTCGTTGGTACCTCTTCACACCCCCATTGCATATGAATTTTTCTTATAAAATGTATTTGTACAACCCAATATTATTCAAATTTCAACAACTATCGTTCTATACCTTTATATCATTATAATAGGCTTGCATATGAATTTTTCATTGGGACCCCTTCACACCCGATTGCATATGAAAATGATACAAAGTGATATAAGGACCTTTAGAACATCAAAATAATCGAAAACAATAAAAAAAACCATGAAAACCACACATACAAATTTGAACGTTTGAGTCATTTGAACGATAGTGCATCACTATTATTCTTGTGAATAAACGAATAAGATTTGGAAATGTTCATTACATTTCCAAATCCCAAATCCAAACTCAACAGTTCATTACATAGTTTATTGTCAAGACATACATCAGTCCGAGATGCAGCATTTTGAACAATATGATCACTTTTTACAATACCTAAAACATTAGTCATAAAGAGATATATCACCCTTCCGATATTCTCGAATATCACCCTTTCTGATAATGGTCATTTTTATGAATATCCCAAAAAGAGATCAATTTTAAGATATAAATATTCATATCATACTACACCATCCGCAAAGATTAATAGATTTATCGTGACCAACACAAATTTTGTTAATTAATTTCAATCGTTAGTTGATAAACCATTTTGAAATTTGGATAACCAACCAGCACTTAGGGTGCGTTTAGTAGAAGAAAAATGAGACGTTTTCTGGAAAAAAAATTCAAGAAAAATGAGAATTTTGAAAACGCGTTTAACTCGTCTATTTTTCTAAATTTTTCACAGAAAATAAAATTTTTCTGTTTTTTAAAATTACAAAAAAGTCGGAAATTTTTGAAAAACCGATAATCATTTTTTTCTATATTTTTCTAATTCCAAAATTTTTCTAAAATATGAACGCATACCCACTCTCACCCCATCTACCTCTATCTACTCTCACCTTAATACTCACAACCCACCACACCCCTACCTACCTACACTCACTCGCAAACTCACCCCCACCCCCACAAACATACATACACACACCAACCCCCACAAACACACTCACAAACACACACACACACACAAACTCACGCCATGACCACCACCGTCGCCATCATCGACACCACCACTGCCGACCACCGTCTCCATACCCACCCTAACACCGCTACCGTTTTCTAAAAATAAAAACCGATAGAAAAATACACATCTAAACATGTTTTCTAATTCTTTAAAACTGAAAATGAAAAATGAATAAATTGTAAATAAACGTGTTTTTTAAATTTTCCAATGAAAACCGAAAACGGAAAAGAAAAACTAAAAAGAAAAAACAGAAAATAAAACTTTTTTTCCGTAGCAAAACGCAACCTTAGATTTTGATAATAATTCCATTATGGGTTGTTTGGGATTGCGTTTGAAAAATGTTTGTTTGCTTATTGGCTTTTTGAAAATAAATTTAAAAAAATGTTTGACAAACTCAAAAATACTTTTTAAAATAACTTTTTCATAAACTTCAATAAACACTTTTTAATAAACATGTAAACTTGGTTTTTTGAAACTACTTATGATTTTTCATCCAAAATAACTTCAAAAAAACAATTTTTAAACCAAACACTTTTTAACTTATTAACTTTTTCACTATAAAACCTTATCCAAACACTTTTTTAAAAACTTCTTTTACCACCACTATAAGTAAATAAACATTTTAGATCTCGTTCAAAAAGCATTCCCAAACACCTTCTATGATTAAGAGGGTGTTTGGCTTAGCTTTTGTGAGGCAAAAATCCTTTTTGTAAAAGAACTTTTTGTAAAAGTTGTTTTTTAAAATGTGTTTAACTTTTACATGTAAAATAACTAAAAATGATTAAAAATGATATGGTTTAACTTTTAGATGGGGTTATAAATGTAATTTAATGTTTTAGCTGGTGATTTTGTGACTTTTCAAAAAACTGGAATTTACACTATAGCAAAAGTTGATTAAAAAGTCATTTTCATTTTACCCAAACATCTTTTTAGACTTTTTGCAAAAGATAAAGTTAAAAATCGATTTAAAAGCCAATACAAACACCCCCTAATTACTTGAACCAAATAATGAATCTCGTACAACATTTACAGGCCGTATGACATAGCACACAAAGTAAAATAAATTGGAACTCGATTCTTCCAACCTAAAAAAAACAACACTAGACTGCTTAATTGATCTTTGAAATCCATCCAAAAGAATTTCAAGCACTTTACTTTTAACAAGATGAGACAGACAGGTGTGGAATAGAAAAATTATAGAATCAGATTTTTCCAATTCATGGACGTCAATAAGATCATTGGCTAGCATTGTAGCCAAGCCTACCATGCTTCTTTGCTTCTTTGCGTGCAAGTATAAGCGAAAATGACAAAATTCATCATTCGTAATTGTGCCTTGCAATCAGGGTCAGACATCCTTGCCAAGTAGGCAATCAATCCTAAATTAAAATTTGATGAAATAGCTTAAGCGAATCAATATGGCTTTATATTGGGATCCGAATAAAATTAATCAACAATACACATTGGAGTACAACAAAGTTGAGCAAATTTGTGAAGCAAATATAAATAGTCCAATATTGAGCTTGGCTCCCCATATCCTTTTTTATCACAAGAAATGTTAAATATATGTGAATTTAGAGTAGAGTTGTTTGGGCAAGCAACCATTTTTCTGCTACTCCATCACCTGCCAAAAAAATCCTGCAAATTTAAAAACCTAATTGTGTAAATGAACAAGGGAAGGCATCTATCACCTATACCTTGATAAACTCTTGCTCCTGCTCCTGCTTCTGCTTCTGCTTGGACTCTTACTCCTGCTCTTGCCTTTTGGACTTTTACTGGTAGCAGCAGCAGGCTTTGGGCGCTAGTACAAAAACACACGACATAACACAACACACACAATAATAAATATATCAAGGTGGGTAATACATATAGATATTAGGTATCTAGAAGAAGCAGAACATTATAGATTAGATGCACTCAACCAAGCAATGACTTACAGACGGTGGGGGGGATCTGGATCTTGAAGGAGATCTGCAAAAGTTCCAGAAACAAGCGAGTTTAATAATATCCATCCATCCAACCAAATGTATGTTCCTCTTATCCAATAGTAGTAGCCTTCTCATTCATGAATCATGCCAATATGTTTAAACAAATTATCTCGTGTATATTTTTGGAGATCCATCCAACAACTTTTTAAATCATGACTGCAATGCAATAGCCCCCACTCCCATATTCAAAATCCAGCCTTTTCATTGCAATCCATATCCATCAATCCTAACATGCAATCCCCTGACAAGCTGTATATATCCATATCCATATCTAAAAAGGCAGAATCAAGAATCAATGCTAGTTGACACAAAATCATAAACCAGCCCCCACCCCCAGGTATTGACTCTCGTTTTAAACCCTATCTTATATACAAGTACAACTCTCATTCTTACTGCATATATTATATATTATATATATTAAATATTAAATATTAAAATTAAAAGAAACATCCATCTACAGACTTGTCCAAGTCCAGGACATGAAACGATATGAGTAAGGGTAATATACAAGAGGCAAGTAAGGAGTTGGTATGATATTTAGATATATTAGGAATTGAGCAGAAAAAACAGTTATACCTTGCTGATGGGCGCGGGGGTTCTGATCCAGAACGGGAACGAGGAGAGGCGGACCCCGAACGGGATTTTGAGCGCCGAGATGGTTTTGCTTTTGGGGACTTGCTGTTTACAAGGAAACCAAACCCAATTTATTATTATCACTTACGGCTTCTTATTGAATTTAACTTTTTTTTTTTTTTAAAAAAAAAAAAGGTTGTTCTGACTTCTGACCTTCTGCTCCTGCTGCGGCTACGGCTATAGCTCTTGCTACGGCTGCGACTACGGCTCCTAGACCGACTGGAATCATACTCCTTCACCTGAATGCATGTATAAAAGTAATTAGTAAAGCACATGCCACAAAAAACACAAACACACACACATATATATATATATATATATATATATATATATATATATATATATCCTATTGGCATGTTAATAGTTTTAAATCATACACGTATCACTCCACGTGAGAAAGCATTTCGAAACTCTGAGTCATCCAATTTGCGTATCTGTCACAAAAACAAAATAATATTAGATAACACCACAACCACGGGTTTGTAACACCAACAGAATTAATAAATCAATTATTTACGGCATATTTCATGTCATCGTAGTTTGTGTAGTCCACAATCCCTGTGGTACCTGCAATTTACAATAGTCAGACTTATCATATATCCTAGGCACATACTTTGCATTATTGCGTATTAATCTTACCACCACCCTCCTTGAAAACTTGGGAGAAACAAACATCCCCAGCTCGACGCATGTGATCCTGGAACGGAAGGAAAGCAACGAGACTCAAGTTTATTAGTTTAGAAATCAACCATAAATGTTACGTACCTTAAGGTCTTGCCATGATGCCGAAGAGGGTAACCCAGTCACCAAAACTGCAATATAAAAAAAAAAACATATTTATTTATTTGAGTTTGAGAACCAACCAATTAACAAACATGCTAAGAATAGAGCTGAAACCTCTATAATCGGATCGTCTAGAAACTCCACCATGGCCGCCCCGACCACTGCTATGGCTATTATGACGATCTGTAGAAGATGAGTTTCCACGTCCACCATGGGCAAGTTCCACCTATTATTATTATTATTAAAACATTATTTTCTTACTTTGGTATGTGTATGTGTGGGACCATCACCTACCCTTAATCTGTGACCATCAAAATCATACCCATCACGACCCCTGATTGCATCTTCAGCATCTCGGGACTCTTCAAACTATTAAAAAAAAAACACCAACACCATTCACCATACTATTATACATATAATATATACTAATAAAGCAAAAGAAAAGTGGCTGTAAACCTTTTGAAGCTCACCTCAACAAAAGCATAACCCGGAGGCCTCGGTGGGACTTTCAAATCAATGCGGGCTATTCGACCATACTGCACTTTCAAAACCAATATACTAATCATTCTCTATCATTTGCTTCATCCATAAAATCCATGAATATTATTCTCTACGCATTTTAATGTGCTGATGAACAAATTAAATTTCCTCCTCAAGAAACAGAGCACAAATTTCAGTTTCCATTATCACTTTATCAGAGTTCAATAAACAAACTGAATCACTAAACCATGGGGTACCGCTGATTATTCAAAGAAATGGGCAAACGAAAACAGCATAATAGTGACAAAGTTCTTCACCTTGTAAAACAAATCTTCCACTTCCCGTTCGCGAATATCCCCAGGAAGATTCCCAACATAGAGCGTTCTGCTTGAGCGACTCATCTTTTCTGGTAAGAAAATTATTATAGAAAAACCAAAAACCCATCAAAATGATTCCAAATTAACAACACTCGAACAACCATCAACAGCTACAAAACTCAAAAAAAAGAAAAAAAAAAAAAAAACGACGATTATATTAAATAAAACAGAATCATGATGCTAGGTAAATTCAAAAGATTGAAACTTCATCAGATGTTGATGAACCATTTGGAAATAAATTCAAAAGATTGAAACTTTATCCGATGTAATCGAAGCTTGAAGGTGGATAGAGACGTACTACTAGTATGTGCGCATGGGAAATCGTAAAAGTTAACCGTATAAAGGACGATGTAAAAATATGGAGCGGCTTACCTTAGTAAATGTGGTAGATCCGGCCGCCAGCGTCGTTAGGGTTCAGACTTCAGAGAACGATGAGTGAGTAGAGTTGTTAAAAACCAAAACAAGTGCTATGATTTCCTGTGTTTTGCGTACGGTGGAACTCAATTTGAACCCAAATCTAGCGGCGGAACTTGCAGTTCGGGTAAAGCATATATGAAGCCGGCCCAGAAACAGTCTTCTGGGCTTTAACTTTATTTACGTAAATCCTAAACATTCATCAGGCCCATAGTCTATAACTTTCGTTTATTCACATGATTTTTTTTTTTTGAAACGGTAATATATTTAGATATAAATTAAAATCCACGCATACAAAATGAGACAATAATAGAAATAATTATAAGGTCTAAGATAGATTATAGAATTATAAGGCACCAGACCAAATGGAAAACACATCAGATTGTAAGGTTACATAACTAAATATTAGTTATTGATATCTTTTTATTTCGGTTGTAGCTCCAAATGTCAATAGTAACTTTGTAAATTTGTATTTCAATCCATTTCAATTTTCATTCCACATATTTTCCCATCAGGAGTAGTATATTGATTGATTGATAAAACGAGCTACCAATAGATAATGTGGTGCCACTAAGCTTCTAAGATATTATGGGGGTAAAATCGTCTAAAAGCTTGCAGCGGACAATTAACTTCTTTTTTTATTATCCACCATTTTAGATTTTTTTGGACCATCAACTTCATCCAAATCGCAGTCAAAATGTAATGTAGAGCACGCCAAACCATCCATTTTTAGGACAAAGGTAGATTCGTCCATAATACCCTCATCTACAAGAACGTCTATTTTTTCATTTTACTAGCCCTATTGTCTTTTAGCCGGCAAAAATTTCAGCTTATGTCTGTAATAAAAGCACCATCAATGACATCTTTGAGCGGCTTCGATCAGCGACAATTGTGGTATCTTTAAGCGACTTCAATCTCCTATATTCTTCATCACCTGTAGAGTAAAGATGTAACACCAGAAAAAAGAAAAACGCACACCAAGAGTTTTTTATGACATCCCCCCTCCCCACAACCCAATTTCCACACGAAAGGAAACACCACGAAAATAACCTAATTACAGCCAATTCCTAACATATGTCTACCCTATAAAAGAGACTCACACCAAATGCACGCCGACTGTAATTAGACACATCACCAAAGACCCCAAATTCACCCATAAAGAAACCAATGACCCCACCCCAAACGCACGCTGACTGTAATTTTTTTTCCTCATCTTTTGCATTCAGCTTACGGATCATAACACCATTTCGCCCATCTAAATTTGTTATGCTTGATTCTAGAGTTGATCCACAAATGGCTCGGTACTTGTACTTCATTTGCTAGAATTTTATATGAATTGATTGTGTTCGAGTGGATTTTGTCATTTCAGAATTTCCAAACCACCCAAATGTATATCAACACAACTGCTTCCTAAATTTGATCGAGGTTATCACTACCTAATGCTAAATTCCTACACTAATGCATTTCATTCAGTGAACCAAAAGATAATGGGAACATATACCACCATTTTTGCACACCACACCAAACTTCTTGTGAGTTTGAGCATTCGGTTAATAGATGTGATTGTGATTCCGCAACAATGTTACATAATGGGCACGTAGTCAAAGATCTGATACCAATGTTGTTTAGATTTAATCTGGTAAGTAGCCTTCTATGTCAAACTCACCATGCTAGGATATTCACTTTTCCGGGGACCAGGTTATCCCACTGCCAAGCACCAACCAGTGTTTTTGGAAATAGTCTTTCGTCAATGAATATCCTAAGAGAGGCCATCGTATACATCCTTGAGGGTTCAAGTCTCCAGGTCATGTTGTTGTCCTGTCAGACTGATGACTTTGAAAAGAGATTGTGGAGATCCAAGTATCCTTGGACAAGTAGTTGTGTAGATTCACGATGCTACCCCAACAATACCCTTTCCTCTTGGCTTTGAGAAGGGCATTGAACCCCTCCTCCCCGATCATTCCCATAAATTGAATTTTATGACATCTTTCCAAAGTTCATGTTTATGGGATATGAAACGCCACCACCATTTTCCTAGTAATGCTAAGTTGTGAGCCTTCAAGCTACCGATGTCAAGCCCCCCATCTTTTTTTTGGAAAGAATTTATCCCATGTGATCCATAACATCCTTCTTTTCTCAGAGGAGCCACCCCATAAGAAGCAACACCTTAGTTGTTCTAGTGTTTTCAGTACCTTAACCGGGGTTTTGTAGAGAAAAAAATGAGTGAGCCTAGGCTCCCCAAAACCGATTTACATAATGTTAAGCATCCCCTAAACGACAAATTTGTGGTTTTCCATTTTGATAATTTTGTTTGGAATGCGGTTATAAGAGGATTCCAATGAACCAATCTAGAGATACTTGCACCCACCGCATTCCTAGATATATGAAGGGGAGGTTACCGATTTAGCAATTAACTATTCTTAATAGTCAGTCTAGTTCCACCTCGCTAACTCCGAGGTCGAATAGTTTGCTTTTGGCCATGTTGACTTTCATACTTGAGGATAGTTCAAAACATCTCCAAAATTCTAACCAAGTTTTTTGCGTTTTGTATCGACCAAGAGCCAAGGAAGATCGCGTCATCGGCATATTGAAGATGTGATATGATAGGGTTGTTATCTGGCAGTTGAACTCCATGGAAGATGCCCTGCACTTTTACTTCTTCCAGCGCTATGTTGAGACCCTCGACCGCCAGGATAAACAAAAATGGAGACAGAAGATCACCCTGTCATACTCCCCTCATAAGTGAGAATTATTTGGAAACTGGTCCATTGATGATTACAGAAGCATGAGATGAAGAGAGACATCCCAAGATCCAGTTGCGCCATTTCTGACCAAAATTCATTTGAGCCATTACCGAATCGAGATGATTTCAATTGAGGCAATCGAATGCCTTCTCGAAATCAACCTTGAATAGGAACACCTTTGATTTGTTCTCCCGAAGCCAATATATGACTTCATTCATAATCAATGGGCCATCTAGAATGTTACGATCTTTAATGAAAGCCATTTGCGTATGACTAATGAGATGAGGAATGCAGACTTTTAACCTTTCTGCCAGGACCTTGGCTATAATCTTATATATACATCCAATTAGACTGATCGGGCGGTATTCACTGAGGGAAATCGGGTTAGAGGTTTTTGGAACTAAGATAATGAATGAGGAGTTTCACCCCCGATCAATTACTCCTGTAGTTTCAAAATCTTTAATTGCTAGGTATATGTTGTTTTCCATTAAATCCCAATGTTTTTTTTTGTGAATGCAAAGGTGAAGCTGTCAGGTCCAGGTCCTGTCGTTGCCGCATAGTCGCACAAATGATTTGATTTCCGTAGCCGATATTGGTTCTTCTAAGTTTTGATTTTGGATGGGGTTGAGTTTGTTGAATTTTTGGCTGAGGAATTGGGGTCTGTTGCTCATTTGTTTAGTGAATTTTTTGGAGAAGTATTCAAACGCTTCTTTTTTGATTAAATATGGCTTAGATGTCCACAATCCATTGATGTTGATCCTAGATAGTTTTTGAGATCGATAATTTTTGTTGATTAAACTGTGGTAAAATCCAGAGTTTTCATCTCCCTCTAACGCCCATTTGCATTGAGATTTCTGCTTTAGGTCAAGTATACGTTTAGCCTCAAGATCCATCAGTTCCTTATGTAGATTCTTTCGATATTATATATTCAATTCATCTAGAGAATTTGATTATGCATTAGTATCGATTGAATCTATTTCATTTGTTAAGTCATCCACTCTTTTTTGTTCCGTCTCATTTTTGGATTTCCTCCATTCTTTAATTTTTTTCTTTGGTATTTTTAATTTTCCAGCCACCGCATGCAGAGGGGACAAGGAAACAAAAATTCCTGAAGATGTGTTACATACCCATCATTGTTTAACAACACCTTCCAGCTCATCCTCTAGTAGCCACGAATTGAAGAATCTGAATGGAGGTGCAACGAAGTCACTTACGGATGATGAGAGGATTAATGGGTAATGATCAGAATGTAGTATTGGTAAAGTCGTCATTGTCAGGTGCTTCCAGTCAGTAGAATAATTATGTGAGATTAGAAAGCGGTCAAGTTTGCTATGCTTGGAGCAGTTTGAACTCATATACGTGAACTTTCGGCCACCGATAGGCAGATCGATTAAACATGCGGAAGCAATGAATTTGTTGAAGTAGTATGCAGTGGAAGGCCAAAATATAGATCCAATTCTCTCGTCAGCTGACCTAACTACGTTGAAGTCTCCAAACACCACCCATCGTATGTTATCGTCTGAACCTATGACGTTTTCAAGATTTGACCATAGCGTTTTCCTTTGAGTTGGATCATTTTAAATGTAAACGTTTATAAACCCATAGGTTACATTTGAAGTAATCCAAGCTCCTTTAATTGCTAAGAAGTTTAGACCTTTTATAGTTACAGAGCACTTAAAGGCTGATAGGTCCCATAAAAAGGCTATTCCTCCTGAAAGTCTGAGCGGGTCGGCTGTTTCGCACAAGAAAGATGATGATCCCTAAATTGCTTTATCTACTTTTCCCCTAAATTCTGAAGTTTTTATTTCTTGAATTCCAGATAGCGATATATGATTTTTACTCCTAAGGGTTTTGATCCATTCTCGTTTTAACTCACAACTGACACCTCTGCTGTTAATGGTGAGAATCTTCATTGATTAACTATGATGACCCTCCTCTTCATGATGATATTCCTGATTTCCTCTTGAAATCCGTTGAATTGAAATCGAATCCTCTCTTAAATGGCTATCATATGTGATATCTCCCCATTTTTATCCAAAGAAGCTTCTAATCTATTCGAGTACATTGTCTGATTGTTTAGGGATTTTGATTCATCGCGTGATTGAGTGGTTTTTGATCTTACTGGAGACGAGTTGACGTCAATATGTTTTCCATTATTGACTTGTAATGTCGGCTGGGGCGTATTGTGATGGTGGGGTTGGGGATTGGATAGGTTGTATTGGGCTTCAAAGTTGTAGGGCCGGGCTTGTATGAGTTGGTTTTTTGCTTGTAACTTAGTTGGGGATAGATGACGTGAATCAATACTAGATTGGGACCCACTTCTTGTTTTTTGTAACGCTCGTGTTCTTGGACTAAGCGTT